ATGGAGAAAATGCCCAAGGGGACTGACCCCAAACAAGGAAAAGCGGTCTGCAGACAGGAGTTTGGCCCTTCCCATTTTCAAAGAAGAGTGAGAGAGTAAGATCCATGCCATACATCCAATCCTAACGAGTTTTCTTCGGTCTTGGTTGAGCCAACTATGTGAACGCAGACGCTGTGCTCTGGAAACCGTGGTTTAAAGCTCACCCTGATGCACAAACCCAACAAGCCGTGACTTAGGGAAGCTTTCCCCTCCTCTCCACTTCCCAACTCCAGCCCTTCTCTGGAGTTGTCCATGGTGCTGCAAACGTCAACACCCTTTGCTTCCTGGCCCCGTCACAACCATCCTCTCACCAAATCACAGTAAATCAGCATCTTTATCCTACGCAGTTGAACTGCAGGAGAACCGTTCCCTCTGATCTGCACCCACACCAGGGATGGAGGCCTTGAACCACGAAAGAGGTGTCCAAACACACAAGCACACCCCACTGCAAGTCTCTTCTCAACTGTGGCTCTCTCCCTGGCTTCATGGCGGACGCTCCCTTTCTAGGTGGTTTAGCTATCCCAACTTGACAGCTCAGATAATCATAAAGATCATGGCCTGTCCACCCTATATAATCGCACTAGGATTCATTCACCAGCCTTCCTTGTCTATCCCCGGAGAGCCATTTTGGAACAGAACAATAAACTTTTTAAAGATAAGAAGAAGAAGAAGAAGAAGAAATTCCCATTCCTAGTAGAACTTTTCTTTAATTAATGGATGCAGCCTGAGATAATTTAACATCGTACGCCACTGCCGCATTAAACTTTATGTAGCTTTTCGGATGTCTAATTAACATACATTGCAACCAAGAGCAGGGAGGACAGGGAAGGGTGGGAGGAAGATTCATGATTAATTTTTACAATTTCCAGTGCAGGGGAAAAAGAGAAAAAGAACTCGTAATTGAATACAACACATGGCCCAAGGCAATGGGTTTGGAGTCAGGAGATCATCTTTGAAGAGTTTGCAGAAAAAAAGGCCTCCGGGGAATCAATTCTAAATAAAACTCAAGACCAACGTGAACCAAGGGACACCAATCTTGTTGTGCCACAATCTACCTGTAAATCAACAAAATGGGTGCAATGGGGATTCTTTGTTGATGCACTGTTGAACTGCCAGACCAAAGCACAAGATTATGGTCCCTTGGCAACACAGCATCTCGACTGGCTGGGGCTGGTAATCATTCCTGCCAGAAAAACTTTTCAGGTCTTAATTCATCTCTTTCCAGAGGCTGATCAAATATTTGTTCCTTTTTTAGCTCAGGGTTTTTCTGGTTTCCTGCATGTTTAAAAAATGCATTCCACTGTTTTATTGGATTGTTCCTTTCTACGTTTTTTTTTATTTATTATTATTAGATATTATCAGAAAACCCTGTCACCTTTGACTGGTGCAATAGATTTTTTTAAAATGAAAAAAGCCATCTCTGCATTTTTATAGATATGTCACATCAGAGATATCTCTTCCTCTCTTTCTGGTTAAAAGAAACTACAGGAGATTCTCTGCATATAATGAAAGGCACTGTGATATATTAACAATTTAATATTGTCAACATTACACCTATCCTGACGGATATAATACTGGGACACAACACTTGGAAACTGAGATGCCAGGCTGAATTTACTGATCAAACTTTATAAAGTCTGCTCCAGGAATTATCCAATGGTCCCTAAACTTGCTTTTCCTTAGGAAATGCTTAAACGTTCAGCCCAAAAGAAGGAAACGAGGCATGAAGCAAATGGTCCATTCTCACACATCGTGGCCGGAGAGGGCTGGTGGAACTGCAGGGGACTTGTTTTCCTGGTCCCTTTCCCCTGCCAATCAACTACAACTCCACTTCTGCTCTTCCTTCCAGATGGGACTGGAAGAACTTCTTAGGAACCTGACATTTCATTAAAAAATTAAGGCGATTTCCTTTCACCCAGCTCACGGAGAACAGCCCTCCACCCCAGTCAAAGCAACTCAAAGGAGTCCAATTCTGCTCTAAGTTTTCCAGACATTCATCACGAGGAAACGTCAAACACTTCAAGACCTCAGCCATGCTTTCTTTTTCTACTCCAAATATTGACAATAAAATGCTCTTATCCCCTTTTAACACTTAATCACCTTTTCAAAACTCTGAAAGAAGATCAGAGTGTTCCAGAGCAAAAAATTGGGCTGTGTCTCACATTGTGGTGAATTCATCT